GCCCCCGCCCCCGCGCACCCCTGCCACGTGGTCGCGGTCACGGAGCACGAGATCGTCAAGTCCACCGTCAGCCCCATCGAGCCCGTCGAGATATACCCGTTCGAAGCGATCGACGCCGTCGTCGAGTTCATACCGCAGACCGTGGAGACCGTGGAGATCATCGACGATACCGAAAACGAATCTCTCACCGATTCCGACGACCAGGAACAAACTCGACAGGCCGTCGATTTAGGAACGGAACCTAGAACTTTCGTAGTCGAGGTGAAGACTCTCGAACAGAGGATGAAACCGACGCTCGGCATATTAAAACGTAAAAACAGTTCCGAAGAAGAAAACCCGAAGACGTTGCGCGGCGCCATGGCGGGCGTGCCCGACGTCGTCCCGGCCGCGGCCGGCCCCGCGCTGCCCGAGCCCTCCGCCACCGAGCTGCGCGCGCGCGCCTCCCCGCAGGTAATGCCTGCGTCTACGTCGCTCGACGGGTTTACTGTCTAGCTCCGTGTGTCTGTGTACTTATGTACTTTTATTGATTTATTTATTCTTTTACATCAGGCAACGAAGGCCCATATTAATACGATAATGGTGGATCGCTTGATTCCTGTGTGTCTGTCTGTGCAGCTACGCTCGACGTCGTGTAGCGAGTTCGAAGACAAGGCCCCGTTGTCGACGTCGACACCTATCAAGCAAGACGAGCGCAGCAAGCAGTCGGTACAAGTGGTGGCCATGTCGCCCAAACTGATCGGCGACCACTTGCCAAAAGGGACTGGTGACCAGTCGCCAACATTCACCGGCGGTCAGTCGCAGAAGTTGACCGGGGATCGATCGCCCGAAACGATCGGCGACCAATCGCCCGTATTGTCAGAAGATCAGTCGCCCAAATTATCTGGCGAACAGACGCCTATACTGTCGGCCGCCGAGTTTGGCAAATTGTCAGACGACAAATTGTCCAAGTCGCTAGATGATCAGTCACCTAAGTCAACAGACGAGCAATCGGTCAAGTCGACCCGTGACGAAACGAGCAAGTCGAGCGATGAGCAACCGGGCTCGGCGGAGTCGCCGGAGTCGGCGCAGTCGGTGCTGCGCGCGCGCTGGGGCAGCGCGGCGGACGCGGCCGTGCTGGCCTGGGAGGCCGCGGCGCGCGCGCTGCTGCGCCGCATGGACGTCATGCTGGTCACCGTCGGCGGCGTGGCGGCCGAGCGCGACCCCGCCAAGCGCCTCGAGATACTCAAGCACCAGCTGGGCCAGCTCGCGCCCGACGCCGCCGCGCTCATCTCGCAGGGAGACTCGCTCGTCTACGCCAAGCACAGGGACAGCCCGCTCCTGGCGGACTACATACAGACACACTTCCAGGTACTCGTCGTACAACTCTGTTATGTATATACCTACTTGGAAACATTTTATTTGATATTTCACATCCCTCGTCCAGGATAAATTGCGTAACAAATGGTCGATGGTGATGTCGGAGATCGAGTTGAAACGCAATCTCGCGCTGCGGGCGGAGGACAACCTGAAGGAGCTGAACAAGATACTGGAGGAGGCGCAGGCCTGGCCCGCCGGCGACGGCGACGCGCAGGACGGCGCCGAGCTGGGCGCGCGCGAGGCCAGCGTGGAGCGCGCGGGCGTGCTGGCGCGCGAGCTGCGCGCGGCGCACGTGGGCGTGCCCGAGCGCGCCGT